TGGCTGCAGACGAAGAGGACTTCCCTAGTGAATTCCCTCTCTCATTCCCCGAGATCGAACATCGTCAGAAAGACGACAACGATATCAAGAAACTCCTCAGGGACAAGCCAAACGACTACAAGAAACAATCTTTCCCCAGAGGGGATAAGTCTTACGACTTAGTAGTCAAAGACGACAAGATCGTTGTACCCAAGGCTATGCAGAAGAAGCTAGTCGAATGGTACCATGGTGTGCTGATGCATCCTGGCGAGACTCGCACGGAACTTACCATCAGCCAACACTACACCTGGAAGGGACTGCGCAAGACTGTGCAGGCCGTATGTCAGCGTTGCCAAAGCTGCCAGATGAACAAACCCAAGACGCGTAAGCTGGTATTGATGCCTCCAAAGACTTGCAAGGAGATCCCTTGGGAAAGACTATGTATTGACCTAATAGGGCCATACAATGTCGGGGATCCTAAGAAAAAGAATTCCTGTACACTTCATTGCTTGACAATGATTGAGGGGGTTAAATTACTCATTTAGTTTAACAAACTATTGGCCACGGAGTGACTTTAATGACGCGGGCAAGCGGTGGGGGAGATCCCCACCTAGCTGAGTCGTCATCTACTTTGTTTGCCCAATCAACATGACCTCATCCACTGGCCTAACGTGGAGCCAGCACCAAGTAGACAGATGCCCTGGGTAGGGGGGTGAGCACATTGATAGAGAACCTGCAGCGCAAAACCTGGGTTACAGGGGCTTACACAGGATTTTGTCGGTATTGAAACCATTATCACCAAAGGGGCCGTGAGGACCAGATAGATTGCCAGACCAAAGAGCGCACGCCAGTAAGTGTGTCTGGGTGATCAGGTCCCAAGCTGTGGCAATTGCCTTGGCATGCAAGGCAAGATGCCAGCAGAGCCCGTAGGAGGTGGTACTCCTCAGGCTGGACCAGAGCAGGGTGTAACCCATCCAATGCACAAAAATTGTTAAATAGAGGCCAACAAGCAGGCAAAAGATGGGGTCAAATGACACACTGGCAGTCTGTGGTTCCCAGGAGGGAGGCACAGTGGCTGCTGGAGTGTTGTGGGCTGTTCGAGAGGTTGTTGAGTCAATGGAAGGAGGATAAGGGGGCACTGGTAGTGGACTGGTGCCAGGGGCAGGAGGGGAGATCCTGGTGGTGTTGGAGTGTTGTTGGAGGAGTTGGGAGGTAGCATGGTTGATGGTGTGGTGTAGGATAGAGGCGTGCCTCTGTTCAAGGGTGAGAACAAAGGCATCCTCCCTGATAGGGTAGGGTGTGATGCGGAAGGGTGTGATCCTCAAGATGGCTGCATGCTCTAGGAGCTGTTGGCTGATCATCTAGGGGTTGGTGTTGGGTAATCTGCGGAGGATGATGGATGTGATTGGTTGGGTGAAGTGTGGTAGTGGGGGGATGTCTGGAAGGACCTTGGGTTTGAGTGAAGTTGTGGGTAGACATGGGGAAGTCATGGTGGGTGGTTGGTGGGTTGGTGGAAAAGATGTGTATCCTGGAGTGTTGACTGTAGGGTCGTTGCTTCAACTCAAGCAATGGAGGTTGCTTGTGAGGTGGCGAGAGTATTGGTGTAAAAGGGTTTATTCAAGGGGTCAATGCGCTGAGGCACTGGTAATCAAGTTGTATATCAAGTTGTTGGGTGGGTATTGCCACTGGATCAAAGGCTGTGGCCAAATGCATCTAGTGCAGGTATACCACTACCTGCAGGAGGAGATGGGATCAGAGCCAAAGACTGCTAGGGATTCTTTCAGGGAAAACTGGAGAAGTCACGCAATAGCCAGTAGAGGCAGTGGTGGGGATCAAGGGGTGTTGTTGGTTGATGGGGCTGTGTTACTGGATGACACTGTGTTGTCTCAGAGGCTGGTTCTCAATCTGTTGTGGGGATAACAATGCAACAGAGAGTCAAGCCAAGATGTGGAGAGGGTACTCGATTCAGGTGGAACTGGGAAATAGTCACTGAAGAGTCACTCAACAATCAATGAGAGAGAGAAAGAGTCAGTTATGTATTAATATCTATGCCACACCACACTGCAGTTCTGTCTGGGGCTCAATCCTTTGGAGTCCGTTAAGCTCAATAGGAGGTCGGGTGCAGGAGCAGAGAGGTGGCTGTTTCAATGAACAAGGTGTTGCACAATCTAGCCTCAAACTAGAGGGGCAACTTTTGTAGTTAGTTCTTGTGGGGGTGAGATCCTTTGGAGAGGAGCTGGATATCCCAGGGAGAAGGCTGAACTTTGGAAAACGCCAAGCCTGGTGATAAAGTCTGAGGAGGATGACTGGCTGCTGAGGGCTCTGTGCAGCCGGTGTACTCTTGAACTCAAGTCCTTACAGGAACTCTGTTGTTGTTTGTTGTTCCTCTTGGGGAGGAGTTAGATATCAATGGAGGGGTGTAACAGTGGCAGGTGTCGATCAGTCAATCAGTCTGTATAGGGATAGGACTGGTTGGATCAGTAGGATCAGTTCCAACAAGGACGTCGGGAGAAGCCCAGAGTGGACGGTGAGAAAGTAAAAAATACAGCTGTGTTTCGGTTCTCGATGGTCACTGCAGGTATCTTGTGAAGTCCTGCTTGATAGTAGTTCGTTCGATCCGTACGGAGGAGGATAGAGGTATGGAGAAGAGGTACGTTTGCGGGAAGAGGTACGTTCGCGGGAAGAGGTACGTCGATAGAGGTACGGTCGCGGGATGATTGATTCACGGAGTCGCGAGTCTTGATTCGAAACAGAGATTCGATTCGATTCGAGATTCGGATGAGTCAGTTGCCTTAGGGGTAAGGTTAATGGGCCTGTTGTTGTTGTTGTTGGAATCAAATCGTTCGATCGTACGAAAAAGGATCGACAATGGGATTTCTTGGGCCGTCAGTAGTAAGAGAAATGTCGGGTCACTGCAGAGTATGGAGGAACCTTGCACTTCTGAGTCTACTGAAAGCCGGTGACTTCTTCTTGTTTCATCGATTTCTTCCAACTTGGTCGTCGGCGGCCGAGAAGAGAAAGCCCGCCCGATCTCGTAGGATTTCTATTGGGATGGCTTTCTGATCTGAACCGGAGAAGGCCGCTTTGGTAGTCGCTTGATAGAGGAGGTGCGAAGGAGATAGGAGGTATCGATCCTGTTGACTGGAGGGGCTTGAATGAGGGATAAAGAGAGGAAAAAGGATGTGTGTTTTCCATGATGACGTTGAGTTGAATCCTATAGTAAAACAGTACTCTTCAACAAAATAACAGATAACAAGCTTCCTGAGGTCCTTTCGCTTCGTTTCAATGCTTCCGATGGGTCTAATAGGTAGTGTAATGGTATAGGTATGACCGATTGGTTGTGTTTGTTGCTATTAGTATTGTTGTTCTTGTAGTGACAGATTCAGAGGGGAAGCGCTTCGGTGTTCGGCTTCCCGTGAAAAAGTATCGGCCGATTGGATAAAGCACTCACCATTGTTGTCAGCCAAGCTGGTATTTACCTCTTGTTTACCATATAAATTCAATGAGGGAAAGAAGTCAGTGCTGCGCCTTCAATAATACACCTGATAATAGACTTACCTCGTCGTAACAGTAGTAGCAGTAGCAGCGATCGGTCGCTCCTCCACCATTGTGCGTGTTGCTTTCTGTTGTTGTTGCTTGGTTGGTTGGCTGGCTGAGTGATCGAGTGATCCATTGAGTGAGGCTGCTTTCAAAGAAGAGGGCAGCCGGGCAGGCTGTTCCATGAAGTCTGTTTGAATATTTTAGTGTGTACAGAGAGGACTCTCCAATGACACTTCCCAAAACAGCTTGCCCTCCTTATAAATCCAACTCAACCTTGTGGAACAGCAGCTGCGCCTCTTCAAGAGGAGGGCTTATCACCTCACAGATAGAGTCTTCTTCCCTTACAGATCAAGGAACAACCTCACTAAGCGAGGCTTCTCCTCTTCCAGAAACAAGAATTGGGCTTAGTAACACCACTGTGGGCCCTCCCATAACAGGCTCCCACTTCCAAAACAGCCAACACCTTGGGTAGCAGCAAGGCTGCTTCTTCTAGATTCGTGTGCCCTCTAGCTACCCAATCTGTAAGGTAAGGTTGTCTATCTATAAAGGTCCACACTGACAGGGAACTTGGTGCTTCTCAATAGGAATGGATGCCCCTCCACAAATAGCATGCTATTACCTTACAAAAGGGCAACTTGTGAGCTGAAACTGAAAGCAATATCATACCAATCTATAAGGAATCAATAAGGATATGGCAGCAAAATTCCATGCGGATTCTGGATTACCAAAAGATGTGCTTCTTAGATGGTGTACCATGTAAACTGCATGGTATCGTCGCCTAAATCTTTCGGATCGTCTCCTATTTTGAAACAATCGTCTCCTAATTGGAATGTCTCCTATTGAATTGTCTCCTAAATATAGGAGACGATTGCTTTTAAATCGTTTCGATCGTCTCCTACGCCTCAGTGTATCATCTCTTAAGTACTTTGCCACTAATGACGTTTCCACAGAGGTCCAGTACATGTATAACGTCCGCCGACTGGGCGTGCATGCTCGTTCACAACACAGATAATTAAGCCGGCTTTAGCGTGCAATGCTTGTATCCCGACTCAGGTTTGATTCCTGACAACGACAAGTTTGGGACTCGGCTGGCTTTCACAGCGACAAGATAAACAAAGACAACACCGACACCACACAGATTGGCCCAAAACATGGGAATGCCATCTTAATAAGCCTATAGAATGTTCCCAACCTCTTTAGCAGACCCATACAGTGCCTTTTGGGTCTTTGTTTGGTGGAAGAAGATGATTCGGGGCTCTCAATCGAATTTTTGGCTCATTTTTGAGACCACAACCACATCATTTCATGCTGCCGCCTCCTTTTCTGTGCTTGTAAGAGATGGTGTGGGCCGTTTGTTGTCTAGAAACTCCTTCCAAGATGCTTCTTGATATCAATGAAGATTCTTCTCATCTTTGTAGTCCGCTGGTCACCAACAAAAGCGCATTTTTGTCGAAAAAGACTCTTTTTGTCCTGGCGACAAGATGGAATCCGTACGCTTCGAAGACGGCAGCGGCAATGATGAAGAGCCCCCGGAGGTCGAGCCGTTTGGTGTGGTCGACAGGGGGATGACATTGGAAGATTTTGAAAGAGAGGAAGTCAATGGATTCGACGGACCGAACGTTTGGAAAGCTGTGGACAATGTCGCTGAGACCAAAACAACAATTGGCATGGCTCAAGATGCTGCATGGGCCCAGGCAAGAGTCGAAATGCAATTCATCCGCCAGAAAATGGAGCAGTTTTGTGGAAGCCAGAAACCCAAATTTGCTGCCATCTTTAACCTCATGTTTGGCCCCCAGAGCGAGATTTACCGAGTGTTCAAAGGAGAAGATCTTTGATTATCACGACAATTTTCTTCGCTTCGTATTGACTTTCTTCCCTTCCTCTTCCTATCAAGTTTCCACCAAACAACTGTTCGACAAGTACAGCCGAATCAACTTGGAAGGAGCCGTCTCGAAAGAAGAATATACAGCGTCATGGAAGAAGATTGGAACGGCATCGCTGCCATCGTTACAAGAGAGAAATCGGAGCTTGACCCCCACCGGCATGGTGCCTTTCTGGTTGAAACTAGAAGCTGCAATCAACAAGTACTGCTGTGAAATCTTTATCGAAGGCTTTCCTGGACCGATAATGCAAGTCACATTGGATGATGACAAACCACACGCACATGGCAACACCTATACGGCTGGTCTGAAATCAATGCGTCATGTCAAAGACAATGTTCCTGGGCACACCCTGCACACACTACTGGTTCTTTCGTACTCTCAGGTTCCCATACAGATATCATGGGAGCGAGAGATAAATGACAGCTCGGAAACAGCAACCAAAAGAATCTTTAGCCAAGGGATGACTCCAATGGCTGCTCAAGGAGGTGGTGATCTGCGTCCTGTTTCCTGCGCCAAAGATCGTGGCTATTGGACCGATGCAATACTCCATCAGTATTTCATGAAAGCAGGTGCGAAGATTCGAGCTGGAACTGCCAAGAGGCAGCCCCGCATTCCAATGACCTACTGGCAGAAAATAACAGGAAAGGACACACGTGTCGACGTGCAGGCTACCGGCCCCCGGACTGTCTACATCATGGAGACGACAAGCCATGGAAGAAAGCTCTATTGTCATGCATTTCGAAATGGAACTGGTGGTGTAACGCTTGGTATCTCTACTGAGCATGGAGCTCTGCCTGAATGGGAGCTAGTGTTGGCAAAGCCACAAGATTTGGGTTGGTATGATGACCCAAACCTCGCGGAGAATGATCGTTTGAAAAAGAGCTTTCTACAACTACGAATAGCTACAAACAGACGAAGTTGAGGGAGAAGATTGATACCCTCACTACCATGATGCAGAACAAACAGGGATTGCGGGCTATCAAACGCATGTTCCACTGCATTGCCATGAGCAACCGAAAGATCCGCAAACAGTCAAAGAAAGAGATGAAGCTGAGCAAGAAAGGCGGTGTCCCATGGTCCCCAGAAGTACAGGGTGTCATGGATCGCAGAAAACTCTGGGCATCGGTAATCAAGCTCAAGATCAACCTGAAAGTGAGCAAGAAGAGGATCAAGCGCCTCATGCGCAAATGTTCCAACTCTGACGCCTGGGAAGTCGACTTAGAAACAGCGAGGAGCCGGCTTTGGAAGGCCAAGAAGGAGTGGTGGACAATGAAGAAGAAAGCCCACCAACTAAGGCGAGACTTTCTCGACAAACTGGCAGAGGCAAGGGCAGCCGCGTATGGCACCACAGCGGCGTCAGAACTGAAAACGATGCGCCACAGGGAGAAACAGAAGGAAGACGCACGCAGGAGGAGAACAATTTCGAAGAAAGGAGCAGATAAAGAAAGAACGACGAAACTATTCTACACCGACCACGACTTGGCTACAGGTACCAGAAGTCAGGTAGTTGAATGCGCGACCCAAGTTGACATGGATGCGGCTGCAATCCGTGAAGGAGAGCACGCATGTCCCGGTGCCTCCAGTCACCATTCACCCAGCCCCCATTGGACCAAGACTTTGGGAACCTCGCAGACACTGAAGCAGCTCAGGCGGTCTTGGATGGCTCTATGAACCACCAGAGGGCACCGACAAGTACACCCGGATGCTTGATCAATGCCTTCTGCAGATCTCCCAAAGTGACAGAACTACCCGATGAACACATGCAATGGACACCCGCCCTGCTGATGGCAGCCTGGAAGAAGCAAAGAATCACCACAGCCTGCGAGCCCTCTGGATTGACCTTTGACCACCTGTCATGGGAGCAATGGACAGCGAGATTGCCATGGTCGACACCGTACTCCACAATGTCCCTTTCCTCCTCGGTTTGCACCAGAATCCCAACTCGTAGACGGACCTTCAATCCTGAAGAAACCGGATGCTATGAAGCTGAAAAGATGAGGTTCATCTTTCTACTCGACACCTACTTCAATATGAATTGCAAGAGACTGGGACGCATCATTATGCAGCAGGCTGACAGGTTGGGGGTGATATCAGAAGAACAATACGGGAACCGCAAAGGCAGACACTGCATTGACCATGGCCTAACCATGTGCTCTCGTGACATCTCCAGGAGAAAAGGTGGGCGATGGCACTAATACCTTTCGATGCATCACAATGCTATGATCGCATCAACCAGCGCCAGCAATCCTGGCTGGCCGGCCATTGGAATCCCACAGACACAACACAGTACAGATTTGGCACCTACAAGAAACCACCCATTACGCTTCCACAGCCTATGGCATCTCCAAGCAAACCTACCGAGGCCCCCAGCGAGCAGCCTCGGCCAGAACCACTTTGAGGACAGGGACATGGTACAGGTGATGCTGGAAGTTGGGCAGTGCTGATCTTTGCCTTTATGGTCAACATCATTCGCACCCTCGGGCTCTCGTTGGCCCTGACCAGCCCCTTCCCCAGGCAGCTGATCTCTCTGATAGCACTGATATTCATTGACGATCTACCTCGCCAACATCGGTGCCACCCACCAGTATATGACTGGCGAAGAACTCACTTACCCAGGG